ATGTCAAGAAACTGAATTCTAAATTTCCTACTTCTAGCTATTTCTCATTTCAATATACTACAATGCTAACTAGAAGTCTTTATAATCACTGGTGTACTGTTAATTATGACCTCAATGCCTTCTCATAACAAACCCATACAAAGTTCATATAAAACTAGTTTACAGTAAGTAAAATTATTTCTATAATTGCCTATTTCTTTTAGGTTAAGATTATTGTGTGTTCAAAATTATATCTTCCAGAAAAATTTCACTAATGATTATAATCTAATGACAAAAATTAAGAGCCCAGGCTTAGTGGTTATGAAAGAAAGGAGTCAATCCAAACTTTTATTTGTCAGAGTAAGACTTGGACAAGTTAACCAAATTCAATCGCTTTATCTAGAGAATAAATCACAGACCTAGAGAATAAATCACAGATCTGTGGACAACTAAAAGAAAAAAATTTGTTAATTTAGGATATAGTAGGGATTCAATAAATAGCTAGCATTAATTTTACTTTTATTACATGTTCTTTTTGCTAAACAAAGACATAACCTGGCATGCTGCAGTTCATGGAGTTGCAGTCAGACATGACTTAGCGAATGAACAACAACAAAGAGATAAAACTATTTTTAACATCTAAAACGTACACTGAACAGGATCTGAAATTATTATTGGAATTTACTTAACACTAACACTGCAAGTAAACTATCAAACAAGAAGACAAATTAAAATTTTTAATCACCCTTGCCAGTAAAGACAAGAATTTTCAATATTGGTACTTTCTCGTCTGAGCCTCCTCATTTTCAACATATTGGATGTAGCTAACTAAGTAGGTCCATCCCTTTAATTTTCTTAAAATATAAATATACAAGCAACAGATTAACAATCCTAATTTCATTTATATGTAAACTGTACCATGCTGCTTCTTCAACTTTATTTTTGGAAATAATCTATTTTAGTTATAATATAATAAAATGTGAGCATGTGTACAAAAAATTGTATAAGTATACACAGCTTATTTTTTAAAAGTGGGAGATGAACAGGCAGAGAATTGCTGAAGTCACATTTTGAGTTTCTGACAACAAGTATTCCTTCTGCAATCATTTAAAAAATGTATTAAGTTATTTAACAATTCCACAAAGGAAACCAAAGGTGGACAATTTACCACTGCCGCTTAAAAATAATAAAAATAACCCTCTTTCCTAAGTATTTTTTAGTGATCTTTACCTCCTCAGCCTACCATCCAGTGTAACAAGAAACAGAATTATCAAATCCTCATTTTTACAAGCAGCTTCCTTGAAAAGTTACAAACAGATGTAGTAGGATTTGTTTACATAAATATATACTTATTATATATATATGCATATATATAACTTAAATACAGATTGATGAAGAGACAATGCTTTCTAAACATGTTTAAGGATTTTGATTATGAAACTCTCCCTGGGGAGAAAAATCTTATAGGTACTAACAGTACTTCTACAACTTGCCAGAATCCAATCTTTGGAACATGCTTTCTGCTCCTGATTAACCCACAGAGAAAACAAGGCCCTTAAGTGAAGAGAAATGCAACAATGAAAGGGAAGACTAAAGCTGATTCCTTTACCCTGATTGCATACTTCACATACTTTTTTTTTCACCTCCTACATAAGCAGATATCACGTAAAGACTTTCAATTTTACACTGCTATTAACTTCTTTACTCATAAAATAAAGTTATCCAAAATCAGGGGCAAAAGCCTGTAATAAAAATACTCCATTAAAAAGAAGATTGCAATAGATGGATAGGTATTTTCACCTTTCTGTCCTTTAGAATTAAAGCAGTAATTTAACAAGATGAAAAATTTTACAAGTATTAACTGAGACCTTTTTGGTACAGAATTATCAAGTTCATGTTGGTGATGGCATAGGAAAAAATAGAAAAAGTAAAAAGGAATAAACATACACACACACACACAAAATTAAGCTCAGCTAAAAAATGTTTCCTTTTTGGAATTTTGGTATATGTGTTTGCTAAACAGCAGCAAAATTTCAGAAAAAAACAAATGTTGCTCCTAAAAGTTATTGCGAGTCTTAAACAAATACCATCTTACATTCACAGAAGTTTTAAACTATTTTCACATTGTTATAATCTTTTATCTTCACAATCCTATGAAGTAGACAGATCATGTTATTACCATCCCTATATTAAGAAAAACTAAACAGAGCTCAGTCAAACTGTTTAAAATAGGCCTTAACTTCTACTTTGTAAAGATAACACAATCAGAGTTGGAACAGACTTGAGTGTTCCTTTCACAGTTAATCTTCCCCCATTTCACAGATGAAAAACAATGAAGCTCAGAGAAGTCAAGACACCCACCCAATATTACAAAACTCTCTGACATACTGAAGCCTGGGAGGCAGGTCTCCTAACTTCCGGCTGGATACTCTCCTTTCACCACACTGCCCTGCCATGTCACAATGAGTGATATAAAAGCATGCTGAAAATGTTAAAAGTCACTATAGAAGTGGGTAGTAGTAGCAGCTCCAGAAAAGGGAAGATATTTTCAATTTTTTAAAAATTAAAGACATTATGAAATAAATAAATTTAAATGTAAAACTACCTACCACCTTCACCTTTTCCCCCTAAAATCCTCCTTCACATTTTCTTAAATCCCTGATTTGATCACAAATTCTTAAAATTTTCATAATCTGTACATATTTGTTCGTTGTTTAATCACTCAGTGCTGTCCGACTCTTTTGCGACCCCATGGACAAGGCTCCTTTGTTGGTGAGATTTCCCAGCCAAGAATACTGGAGTGGGTTGCCATTTCCTTCTCCAGCCTGCACATATTAAGATATCAAAAATTACTCAACTGATAACATTTTACTTCAAATAGCAAAATATTTTTCAGGAGCCATGTTATATTCCTCTAAGTATTAAAGCCTATTATTCTTGGTTATAGTAACTTAAAGTTATTTTATTGATACTTAGGTCACTGAAGTATTTTTCACTGTATATGCTCACTAAAATATTGCCATTGCAGACTTTTAGTTGAAACAGTAATCGGATCTGATAGACAATCTAATGCAAACGTGAATTAATGAAAATGTGGTAACTGACTGGCAGACATGTATCATGTGATAGAAGGGTTTTTTTTTTTGAGGACTGTAAGAGATTGAGATTGAAAACATTACATGGGCTTATACTGTCATAAAAACGTAGACAGCACGAATCTTATAAACACATGGTAAACAGATCTTAATCACTTTTTTAGGCAAGAGTTTTGAAATGTTTCAATCCCAGCCATCCAGGAAGATATGCCAGGCTTTATACACAACTCTATACAGGCTGAAAGACTCAAAATCCATCTGATGTATCTGTATATAAAATAACACGAGGGCAGATCAAAAGCTATTAATATTAAAACTAGAGCAAGATTACACACACACACACACGCTCATATATATGTTGCATATACATACATACATACATACATGATATGCATAATGTATTCATCCTTTTCAACAAGTCCTAACTGAAAGCTTCATGGACCAGGGAAGACCCCAAGTACTAGTAATTCAAAAATGATAACAGTCCCCACTGAGCGGGAACTCACAGTCACTCAGACAAGGCAGAAGTATTTCTCAAGAAACTATAAATGTGTTAAGTGCTGAAATATAACATTTCAATAATTCAAAATATTAGACACTTGGATATAATGATCAACTCACTTTAAATTGTACTCGTTCAGTAATGCAAGAGCCTAAAGTTTCTCAAAACAGGAAGTGAAAAAACATGCTTTTGAGAAAAGGCAGTGAACTGAAGCATTTGAACGCTTAGAATTTAGTCTCATCTTAGATCATTTATGAAGATGAAATTTGTAAAATCTGACTATTTTCATGCCATAAAAATGTGTAACGAATGCTTTAAAAAGAGGAATTTTGCCTAAATACCCGAGTCACTTTTGATGTTACTCTCACTTCCTCTCTTGGAAACCATCATAACCATTTCCTTTAACCACAAGACCACATGTCTAGTAACTTCTAGCAATGTTTGTCTTGCTTGTTTTTTTTTTGCACAAAGCTCATATAGGAACGAATTTCCAAGTTAAGGAGCATAATCTCACAAAAAAGTTCAGGTCAATGAACCTGTAAGTAATACTATCTAAAAGTATTACAAACTTATAACCAAGTCTCTTCTCGGTAAATGCAGAGGGCTTCATTGGAATGACCCTGAGCTCCTGTCACACAAAATTGAAGTGTGAAGAGGCATTTTACTCTCCAGAGTGCACTAGGTTTAAAGTCAACCAATCCTTCTATTCAGGGAAGCCAATGGAACACAGTCATCGCTACACAAAATTTATCATTATTAAACCAGGACAGTCTTCTCCTCTAGAATTTCAGGGTCTACATGAAATTGCTGAAACAGGTCAGTTTTATATTGAATTCCATCATGCGTTTTTTAAGTATTCTTTTCTTCAGGAGACCTAATTTACAAGGGCTACAACTCTACTGCTACGATTAAACTAAAAGGAAATATTCAGAATGCATTAAAAAGCCAACAAAAAAATTATGAAGATATAACATCAAATACACACTGGAAACTGTCAGGATCCAGCTTGCATCAAAAAATCTTAAGTTTTCTCTATCAAATTACTAAAAACTTGCTAAATTTGCCTTAAAAGGAATAGAATTGTGGTCTTTCTTTTCTAAAATAAATTAATGTAATATTTGCTCTATTCTTCCATCTATTTTTCTTAATTGCAACTCAGCCTTTCATTCCTTAATATTGCGAAAGCCATGTACTTTCAATGGGTCTATTAGCTAGAGCTACTCAAATTATCAGACTACACCATGAAATCAGCATAAGAGCAACACAATCACAGTTTTTATTTTGTATAGACACCGAACCTAAAGAAATTTAAGCAACGATGTTTCGGTATTAGCGACATGGTTGGAAAAACTAAGATGAGGAGGAGTAAAGAAAGACAAGAAGGTTGTTATTCCTGTCCCAGTGACTCACAACCCAGAAGTATTTCAGGAGAAAACTGGTTCCACCCTCGCTCCCACCTCCTTTCCACCTTCAAAATGAAATAATTCCAAATCGTCAACACACTCTTCAATGGCTTTTACTTGGCGATCCAGAATAAAAAGGCCAAGTGGAGGAGATGTAGGGTTCATCCAGATGAACCATTCTCTTCTCACGCTCCCACTTACATACCAAAAGAACTGAGGGGGAAAAAAGAAACAAAAACAAAAACAAAACTGCTTCCATCTCCGCCAGATTTCTACCATTCCATCTGAGTTATGGAACACCCAAGTTTTCCTAGCCCCCATCTAGTATCTCATCCATCCTCCTCCCTTTCGCGCAGACCCAGTCCCCGGGGGTCAGGGCGCCGAGGAGGGGACGGCGGCGGCGCCCCTCACCCCGCGCCGGGCCGGCCAGTTCCCATTGCTGGGAGCGGGCAAATGGCTCCTCTCCGCCCCTGGCTGGGCCGCGACCCGGCGGGAGAGACGCCAGGGCTCCGCATTAGGCTCCGGCGCATCCCGGCGATCTTGGGCGGGCCTGCCGCCGCGAGGCCACGCTTTCCGCCCCGGGCGCCGCCCGCTGCCCCCAGGGCCCAGGCCTCCCCGGCCCTTCCTCCCGCCTCTGCCTGCCCGCCGCGCCCGCCGGCCCGTGCGCACCTGCTTGATGTTGTAGAGGCGTGTGACCATGCCGACGACCCGGTCGTTGAGGATGGTGAGCTTCTCCGCCAGCTTCTGCTGGCTAGGCTGCAGCACGGAGAGCGACATGGTGGTGGAGGCAGTGGTGGGGCCGGCGTTGCCGGCCTCGCGCCCAGTCACCGGCCCGCGGCCTCCGCAGCTTCCTCGGTCGGGCCTCCTCCCTTCCTGCACGTGACCTCCGTCTCAGGGGAGCGCGCCCATGGCCCTCGCGCCCCAATCCCGTGCGGGTGAACAGAGCGAGCCGCAGCGGACGCCTCGTCGTCCCTTTCCCCGCAGCAGCCCGCGCCCCGACAGGCTCCTGCCTTCGGTCCGCCGCCCTTCCGTCCCCACCCTGGGCGCTCTCCGCCCCAGCCCCCACCGCCGAGCCGCCTTCCCGGCTCCTCCACTAGGTGTGGCGGAGGCGGCAGCGTCTCTGGCGGCTGAGAACGAGGCCGCTTCCCCGCAGCCCCGGACGAGCGCTCGGTCACCTGATCTGCCGCGCAGGCGCCCTCGCCAGGCCGGACGGGGAACTGCGCCTGGGAGGCGGGGCCAAAGCCCGCCTCGCCAGGCCTCGCTGCAGCCGCCGCTTGGGATGCGGCTCCGGCTCCACACCAGACCCGACCCGGCCTGGCCCGCCCACTGTCCGGGGAGCCTCAGCCCGACCTGCTGAGGTTACGCTTTTCTGTCCGCCACACAGCCCCCCCCTTTCAAGTTTCCAAAAGTTGCCTTTCCACCGCCGCCCAGCAGAAGCCGCGGGCAGGGGGCGAGGCAGGGCGGGCTTTTTTCTGGCGAGTTTCGCCCGAGAGTGGGCTGGTGGCTCCATGCGCTTTTCCCTCCCACTGCTTGACAGACGCTCCGGCTGAACACAGCAGATGTGCTCTGCGAGGCGGCCTTCGCCTCTGCCTTCCTACCCTTTCCAGCCTATCTCCCCGGCTTCAAGGCAGTTCAGGAGAGGGTTGGAAGCGAGGGCGACTCGAGTTCCTCAGATAATCAGAATCTGACATTTGTCAACGGGATTACCCTTCCGGAGAAGAGGTCAACAGAAGAGGCCCTGGCCTGTGGGAGGCAGAAATAAATGTTTCTTCAAGTGAATGAAGGAACTTTCCTTTTTTTTTTTTTTTCTTTATCTGGCCTCCACCCCAAATCCCACGCATTCTTGGCAACATTCTGCTTTTCCATCTTTTTTTTTTTCCTGGTCAAATTCCTCCAAGTCAAACCCGAAGGTTGCCCCCTCTGATCAAATATGTTAGACATGATTCCAAAAGTGAGCAAACTCAAGGATTTATGTCATTGACTTGGGTGAGGAGCTCCAGCAAAGAGGAGTCAAGCTGTTTTGTTGGATTTTTTTCGCTTTAATTTCGTTTGATGTATTAATTTTTAAGTAAGTGACAAAATATCCTGCCACCGTCAGTAAACAACATTATAAAAGTAAGTGTCATTGGATTGATCAAAACACTTTATGGAAAGGAAATTGTGAGGAATATATTCCGAAATATTTTAAGCTAGTATATGTAGAGTTCCTTCAGAAATTTTCGTTTTAATATTACAAGATAAAGGCAATAGATTGAACTTGATTTAAGGAGCTTTGAAAAGAGTCCTATATTCACCAAAAAATCCCACCTGCCATTATGCTTGGAATCCTGTACACAAAATTAACTTGAATGAGTTTTTTTTAAATAGAAACACCTCAGAGAGATCACCTATTGAGCTAGTATTAGTTATTAGCATATTGCAGGATTTAATGTATCTGGTTGCAGTCCAGCCTGATAGTTTAAGTATTAATTTAGAGAAGGTAAGAGTCTGGAACCTGAGATAGTGAGGGCAGGCCTGAGAAGGAGGGGCTGTAGGGAGCAGGGTGGGGAGTAAAGATGTGCTTTTTTCAGGGACCAAAGGCAAATATAACCAGACAGAGTCCTACAAAGAAAGATTATATCATTTTCTAGTTTTTCAAAAGTGCTGTATAGAGAGAACAATAAAGTGGTGCCGCATTAAAATTTGAACACAGCTGTCATTTAGAAAAGCCACTCTGATGATTCCATATGAACTTGAACACTTGAAGCTGCTTATAACTCAGAAGTACCGGATAGAGGGAGAGCTCTGTAGATTCTAGTCTCATTATTGAATTTTTATTATAACTAACTTTTAGACATACTGGTCCTAGATTGAATAGAATATTTATATCAGGTATAAGTGAAGTATTCATAATTCTTGCATTTCTCTACATTTTGCATCAAGAATTTTGTTCCTGAGCCAACCCTTTTGAAGTTTGCCCATATGTGTAGTGTGAAGTGGGCTTCCCCAGTGGCTCAGCAGTGAAGAATCCGCCTGCAATGCAAGAAACTTGGGTTTGATGCCTGGGTGAGGAATATCCTCCCTGGAGGAGGACCCCACAACCCACTCCAGTATTCTTGCCTGGAGAAACCCATGGACAGAGGAGCCTGGCAGGCTACAGTCCATAGGATCGCAAAGAGTCAGACACCACAGAAGTGACTGAGGTCACGCATAATATAAAGTTTATTGTAAGTACTAAGGTAATAATCATGTATTTTCCTATGCATATATGATTTCATGGCAAGTATAATTAGTGTATGTCCTTTTCTATTTCGTTTCAGTATTTCAGTCTTTGAAAAGTATGTCATACCGTGTGAATCAGCCTATAAAGTTATTTATAAAATTTATAAAGTTATTTATATTATTTATAAAGTTATAAAGAATTGCCCATCTTGTAGAGTTTTTCTTCCTACTGTTTTCTGGACAAGCAAAAAATTTTAAAAATGATTAGGAAACTTAGAAAAGATTAAGTAAGTTTTAAAAAGCTTGGTTGGAGAATTTATTTCTCTCATCGAATGAAGCATAGTCTTCACACTTCCTCTGGTAAGCTCTTCAAATTGTTTCACTTCAGGTAAGAGATTTCTGCTGTTTGTCCCTAGAACATAAGGCTTCAGAGAGATTTAGAAAGGAGATGATAGCTTTTTATTTGCAGTAATCATAGAAATTTAGCTAGCATAGACCAATAAGCCTTAAAAGTGTGAATTTTTCTGTATATAAAGTATATCTCAATAAATCTGACTAGAAGTTACAGAACTGTGTTTTGAAACATTATTTTTTCTGAGAGAAGTATAAAAGTACCCACTGTAAGGAAAGTAAACATTTGAAAACCCAAACTGGAAAATATATAAATTGGAAAAGGAATAAATTTGGCTTTATAGAAGAATTCATAATAGAATTATATTTTGTGACCCACAGATATATTTTACAATGATTCAGTTATAAAATCCTACTTATAAAATGTCAGAAACAAATCACGGGTATGACATATAACTTTTTATGTATGTGTTATGAAATATTCAATCATTCATAGTGACAATTCTGGATGGAATTAAATATAAATGTTTGTACAATAAATACTTAAAATGTGCAGGATACTGTTATTCTAAGAGGAGATATGAAGCTGTATAAGGTGTAGATTTTAATCTCCCTAGCTCACATTCTGGGCTTCCCTGGTAGCTCAGCTGGTAAAGAATCCGCCTGCAATGTGGGAGACCTTGGCTTGGTCCCTGGAGAAGGGGATGGCTACCCACTCCAGTATTCTGGCCTGGAGAGTTCCGTGGACTACAGTCCATGGGGCCGCAAAGAGTCAGACACGACTGAGTAACTTTTACTTTCACTTGAGCTTCCCTAGTGGTTCAGCTGGTAAAGAGTCTGCCTGCAGTGCAGCAGACCCAGTTCGGTCCCCCAGTCAGGAAGATCTCCTGGAGAAGGAAATGGTAACTCACTCCAGTATTCTTGCCTGGAGAATTCCATGGACAAAGGAGCGGGACAGGCTGCAGCCCGTGGAATCACAAGGAGTCAAACACAACTGTGCAACTAACTTTCACTTTTTATTCAGCTCACATACTGGGTGAGCATAGAACTGTACATACACAAGGAAGTCTAATATAAGCAGCCTGTGATACAGGGCTATGAGAGAAGTCTAGAGAGAAGAGTCCCAAATTGAAGTTCCTAAGCATGTGTGTATGTGCTGCTCACATGACTTAGTTGCTCAGTAATGTCCAGCTCTTTGCGATGGACTGTAGCCCACCAGGCTCCTCTATCCATGGAATTCTCTAGGCAGGAATAGAGATTGATAGTGTAGAGATAGTGTAGAGATCCATCCCAGGTTTCCTGCACTGCAGGCGGATTCTTCACTGTCTGACCCACCAGTGAAGCCCAAAGTTCCTAAGGATTATTCTAAAACTTAGGTTTGTTCAACTTTAATAAGTGCAAAATAATTTTTTTAAAGTGCAGGAAAATAATAGGAATGCTCATCACATACATAAAAGAACAAAGAAAGTTGAAGGTAGAACAGAAAATATGTATGCCTATGATTGCTAAAGCAGGAGAAAAAAAAGGGAAAAATAAAGGTAGCTTTTGAGGACTTGAGGATAATAAATACAATTTGAAATAGTTGTTGACTTTATTAATTAGCCTTCAATGTCTCCTTCTTCCTTAGAATAAAGTCTACATCTCTCAGTCTCCCTTGCAGGCTAGTTCTTGCCACTAGGACATAAGCTTTCAAGAACCTTAAGAGACTGCTGTGTTCTCTTTTTGACAGTCGTCCCCTCTTATTTCATTCTCCCACATGAAACAAGGACCCAGACACCACTATCTCAATCCGTGAAGACCATGGCCACTCACTGAGGATGGCCAAACATAGAAATGGAAGATGCAAGTGGGCTTCTTAGAGCAGAACTATCATACCAAACATTCCCGTTCTATATCTGGATTTTGTGTGAAACAAAGTTTTATTTAAGCTTCTTTGAGCTGTGATTTTTTAAAAAATTATTCTCAACCAAACCTGATCCTAAATAATATTTTTTGTGGTCAACATTATAGTATCATTACTAAGAATAAATTAAGGAATCCAATTTATTATTTATGTGTCTTTCACACTATGTGTCAGGTGCTTTGAGTTACATTTTCTCATCTGCCTCTCTCAATTTAATGTGCTTAGTTGCTCAGTCGCGTCTGACTCTTTGCGATGCTCTGGACTACACAGTCCATGGAATTCTTCAGCCCAGGATACTGGAGTGGGTAGCCTTTTCCTTCTC